AGAGAGAGAGAGAGAGAGAGAGAGAGAGAGAGAACAAGTTGGGAGGGCCAGAGAGAGAGTAAAAACAAGCTGGGAGGGCCAGAGAGAGAGGGGGACAAAGGATCTGAAGCAGGCTCTGTGCTGACAGCAGAGAGCCTAGTGTGGGCTTGAACTCACAAACTGTAAGATCATGACCTGAGCAATACTTTACACACTTAATAAAGAACTTACTTTATACTGTGGGACATTACTGGTCCTGGTTTAACTATGCTAGTGAAAACACTATTCACATAAATTAGTTTTAAATTCTTAGGTTTGGGAAAGTTTCTAGAAAAGCAAAATTAGTAAACTCATTAAGGTTCTTGAAGGTTGATTTATAACCTTGCAGCCAGTGCCATTGTAAACTTTGAGCATGTAGAATTTTGTAAGGCTCCATTGTAATTGTATAAAAATCAGAGTGTCTCACTTAAATGCTGTCATAATATTTATTTTAGTTTTTAATATTTATCTTTGTTTTTTCTCCTTAATTAGGTCCTCGATGGGCTTCCTGGAATATTGGTGTGTTTATTTGCATCAGATGTGCTGGAATCCATAGAAATCTTGGGGTTCATATATCCAGGGTCAAGTCAGTCAACTTAGACCAATGGACACCAGAACAGATACAGGTAAACATTTCCTTCCTGAGAGATTATTTAAAATATTTAAAATGAGGGGTGCCTGAGTGACTCAGTTGGTTAAGTGTCAGACTTTGGCTCAGGTCATGATCTCCAGGTTCTGTGCTGACAGCTCAGAGCCTGGAGCCTGCTTCAGATTCTGTGTCTCCCTCTCTCTCTGCCCCTCCTCTGCTTGCACTGTCTCTCTCTCTCTCAACAATAAATAAGCATTAAAATTTTTTTAAAAAAATATTTAAAATGAATTTAAAATCTTTAATCCTTCTTATATCCAAGGGTTAACATTGCAAAGTAGTATATTAAAATGATATGTGCCACATATACAATTTGGATGTTACTTGAATTGTCCACTCACAAATGTTTATTTCTTTTTGGGTATGTAGTGAACTCAGTTTTTAGTCTATTCTTACCTAAAATGTTGATTTTGAAGTCTTTAAAAAATGAATTCCTTTTCTTTGTGTTGATGAAATTAGCTGGTATAATTCCATACTCTGTTTTGTTATTCTGTCAGTAGAGGGAGCCTGGGTAAAGATAAAGAATAAACCACCTCTTGCCTAAGAACTAACTTGAAAGATTTCCCTTCTGTACAGAAATGTTCTTGATTTTCAAACAGGGCCCAATAGTTGGAAGATAGCCCAGTTAGCAAATGTTCTAATGACTGATTTGGATTGTTTTGAGTGGTTTAACATTGTTAGAGATAAATCTGTAATTTGAAGGGCTTGCCATTTTTATAGTGTGACAGTCTTAAATTCTCAAAATCTTTCTAATACTTAAGGATAACTGCTAAAATAAAAATATTTATTTCTACTGGTTTTAATTTGTAATTCACAGTGAATTTATACTACTTTTTCTTATACCCTTTTTGAACTAGCCAAATATACAAATATATATTGTTGAACTTCAGTGATCTCCTACATGCCTCCAATCAGAAAACACCAAAAAGAACACAAAAATTGGCACGGATAGGGTGAGGTAAGGGTGAAAGAATAGAATACAATACTGAGGGGAGTAGATCATATAAAAAAATAAAGATTTGGTTAAAAAAAGTAAAACTTTTGTACTAAAGACCTGTTTATGCCAAAGTATATTCTAGATAGAACCAAGATTTAAATATTTAAAAGAAATTAAATCTTAGAAGTATTTGGAAAAAATAACAGATCTTTAGGCTGTAAAGTCAAACAGAATTCATTTAGTTCACTCTTAAGGTTTTGAGGTTTTTGCTGGCTAGGGCATAAAGGAAATATGACACTTTATGTATTTTCATGATCCTTGAGGAGAAAAATTATTTGTTCTATCAAGGAAGCATAGCTTTTTGAACATTGCATATAAGGCACTGTTCTTGATAGCATGTCTATAGTAACTTTGGTAACAGATTTCAAATGTTTTTTCTTAAGTTGTCTTCAAGAAAATGTGAAGTGTAGCTTGAAAATGCAACTTGGTGTTTGTATTGGGTTATGGAGGTACAAAACATTCAAGACCCAAGGTATATTGCCTTTTAATGGTTCATTTCACACTAAGGATAAAACATGAAATCCATGGACAATTCAGTTCTCCAGAAATAATATTTGTCTCAAGTAAGCTGTTAAAAGGGGTTGAATGGCAGTTTATTTGAGGTAGACAGCTGTTCTTTTCCTGTAGCTTAGAGCAGAACTTCCCAGTCAGAGGGCTACAGTTCACTCATTTTCTGTGGAATAAGTTACCGTTAACAACAGCAAGATACTGAATTATTAAAAATGGAAGGCTTTTGAAAACAATTATTAAGTAATACACAATTTTTGAAATTGTATTTGGACACAATTTGAATGATTTTCAACTGTCAGTTTCTTGAAATAAGAATTATTCTTTTGGAATGCAAGACTTTCGATGAGTATCACCAGAGAATGCTCTGTATGACTTCATATACCACACTGCTCCTCTTAAAGATCAGATCTTCTGTGATAAGAAATAAGGTTAGGATGCGCTCAATTAAAAATTAAATAAGTAGACAATGAAGTTTTAGTTTTAAAAAAAAGTATGGAGAAAAAAAGTATAGAGAAGGTTAATCACACAGACAAATGAGCATGACATCTAATATTCTTGTGGTGGGCCTTGTAAGTACTTGTTCTTTAAAAATCATTCTGGGACTGCTGTTCTATAAAAATCCCCCAAGGTTCCATTCTAAAGAGCACAACCTTTATCTTAACCTAGAAAATTTTAAGGCAACTGATTCTAAAAAGGCAGTAGAACAAAGTGATTTAGAAAGTTGTCTCTAGATAGTTAGGTTGCCACAGTTAGACCTGGATGAGCTTGACAGGATACTTCACCTCAGGGTGCCTCAATTTCTTCATTTATGAAATGGGATAGTGAGAGTATCTACTTCTGTAGGTTGTTGTGAGGATCAAATAAGTTAATATGAGGAAAGCATTTAGAACAGCACTTGATACATTTTAAATACTCGATGTTAGCTTATCAGTTATTAGTAGTATTCATTCATTTGTTCATTAGGTAAAACCCTCAGTACTGCTGCCTTGAGTATCTTTCTGATCCACGCAACATAGCTTCTTAGTAAATCCACTGTGATGAATTGGCTGTTAAATGTACTACTGAGTAAATAAATAAATTGACTCGTGTGGTATTATTGAGTATAAATTACTTTTTTGAGAATATTTGTGAAGTATAATTAATTCATTTTTAGTAATATTGCATGTTAAGGCATTTTGAGATGATTAGGTGATCATATTGGTTGTCTGTTGAGGTTGCTCCTATTCAAATTTAAGTTTATCCTTTTGCCTGTAATGGTAGGTATGTTCCATTTAATCCACTTCTATTTATACCTATGCATTTTATTTTTTTTACTTAAAACATTGAAGTATAATTATAGAGACAATAATTTACAGATATAAATGAGTTTTATGTGTCTTGGCAAACGTCTATACTGTGTCACCAACACCCCAATGAAGATATACAGAGCATTTCCATTATCCTAGAGAATTTACTTGTGCCAATTTAGGGGCAACTACTGCATTGACGTCTGTACCTTTAGGTTGCTACACGCTGAGATTTTTATCTTTTGGATAAGGAAGAGTGAAGATCACAGTGTGTTTTAGTTTTCCTTATTCATATGACATTTTATAAGAATTTCTTTGATTTAAAAAAGAAACAAAACTTAAGAGATTATTATTTGTAGAGAGAATTACTCTACTGCATATAGTTCTACCCTGTGTCTTCCCTTACCACCCCCCTGCCCCGCCAACATTTCATGAAAATTATACTTCTAGTTTTCAAAGATGGTACTTAGTTTTGGGTAGTTATATATATTTTTAGATCTTTAATAGTAAATGTGGAAACATGATTTAATCTCTGAGCCCAGTCAGACTATAAGTAAAAATGTTCTTTTTTGTATCTCTGTAAAATGTAACTATGTAATAAGTTTTACTTCAAAGCTTCTTATCAACTGATATTATACGTATACCATATTTATGTCAGTTTTTTATATACATGTTGTGAGTGTGTGAACCAAGTTTTAGGACATCTGTCATATATCATAGCTGTGTTAAAATAGCTATATGCTTATTTTTGAAAGAAAATAATTTATCTACCAAAACTTATTTTGATTTTTATTAGTATGGAAATAGAGTTACTCACCTTACATTTTAATCAAAATTCTTTTTTGAAATGTGGTTCATGGTCAGATTAAATGTCTTTAATTTTGAGTTTATTGTCAGGCACTTTTCAAATTTTTGGAAAGGACTATGTACTTTTATAAATACCTTTTAAAAAAATTTTTTTTAATGTTTATTTATTTTTGACAGAGAGAGAGAGAGAGAGACAGAACATGAGCAGGGGAGGGGCAGAGAGAGAGGGAGACACAGAATCCAAAGCAGGCTGTAGGCTCTGAGCTGTCAGCACAGAGCCTGACGCAGGGCTCGAACTCACAGACTGTGAAATCATGACCTGAGCCGAAGTCGGATGCTCAACCGACTGAGCCACCCAGACACCCTTATAGCCTTTACTTTTTATTATGTACTGGTTTGTTAACCCCAAGTATTACCATTTTCCTACATTATTTAAATTTTTTAATTATTCATTTTTCAGTGCCTTATTGAAGGAGTTAAAATGAAGAATACCTTATTTTTATTACAGAGGAACATTACTTGTGCTCTTGTTTCTTAGCTTTGTGCAGAGTCTTGTAAATGGTACTAATGAAACATCTTAGTGAGATTTTGTCCCTATGGCAAAGTATACTCCATATATTTGGTATTTATCGTGATAACATTTGGACCACTTTTAATACTTTATCTGTAAATCTTTTAGTAATATTCTCTCTCAGGTTGTTTACTACTGACTAGTGTCATTTATTGGTATGGTACTTAGTATTTTCTTGGGAACACCAAGGCCACACAACTGAAATTTATCGTTTATGAAGTATATCATGGGGAACTTCACATTTGAAATTGCCAGTCTCCATAGATACATGATTTATCCTTAGTGAACTTGCCTTCGACATTTGTAGGCATTTTTACCCCATCTTAATATCTTTACCATTTTTACTTTAGCTTTGACTATATTTTGGCTGGAAGGAAAGGTCTTTATTTTTTAAATGTTTTATTTATTTTTGAGAGAGAGAGAGCGAGCAATCGCAGAGTGTGAGGGGGGAAGGGCAGAGAGAGAGGGAAACAGAATCTGTAGCAGGCTCCAGGCTCCATGCTGTCAGCACAGAGCCTGACCTGGGCTCGAACCCATGGACAGTGAGATCGTGACTTGGGCTGAAGTGGGAGGCTTAACCGATTAAGCCACTCACGGGCCCTGAAGGAAAGGTCTTTAAATCCAACTGTTTTCACATCGTTGTTTCCGATTGTAACAAAAGAATAGAAGCTTTCTTTCCTCTCATTCCATCCACCCCTAGTGTTTTTGCTTTAACTTGCAGCTTTTTGTTTTCTTGTTTTAGGGACAGAATAGTAGGGGGTTGGCTGCTAGTTTCTCTGCCTTTATTTTCATTTGCAGCTTTCCTTCCT